AAAATACTGTTGATACAACAGGAAATTTAGTTACAATGCGTAAATTAAGGAAGAAAATAATCTTTCTTCTTATGGGGTCATAGGCTTTGTAAGATGAAAGCGAGAACACAAACCACATGACCAATTTCCCTTTATGCTACCCATAAAAAAAATTATTTCCTTTGAGGTCATTTGCACCTTGCTTCCAATTTCCTGAAAACCTCATTTAAAATAATCTCATATAGAAGCCTATTTATGATCTTTCATTTCTGATGTAGGGATCCAAAACCCAGAATGTCCCTTCCAGTCTGTGAGCCTTTATTGTCACATAGACTGTGTGATATAATCCCATTATTTTATCAGATTTCATCTTAATCACTAGGTTTCCTGGACCTCATTATTCCTAAAAGGAAGTTGTTTCAAATTTCAGTAGTGGTTTGATTATCATCCTAAGCATTGTGTTCTTTTTCCTCCCTGACATTTAGCTGCAAATATTTTTTGTAAAAGAAGTTACAAAATCACAGCTTTAGGTTTTGCAATGCTAAATAATACACACTATTTCAGCCTTCTGTCACGTCATGCAGGAAGCTGTTCATGGTTCCCAATCCAGTCAGCATTAGCCTTTCTGGTTTGTCTGTGGGAAGGCACACAGGTGGCACATTAGCAATGGTGTTAGGTTACCTCTGCTGGAAGCAATTCTCCTAATTCATTCTGATAGTAAATTTGTTTGATTCAGGCTGACATCAAATGGTCAGTCATAACCATTTGTATGTTGTAACAATTTTTAGTTCAGCAAATGTGGACAAATTTTCCTTCCTTTTCTTCTCCTATTTCTAACTCTACAGCTCATCAGTCAGAAAATGTGTTTCTGGTCTGTGAGTAGAAATGTTTGCATTTTTGTTACTCCAGCCCAAAAGGTGATCCAGTGTCTTAGACAGTTATTTTGGTCATCTTGTGTATTGTCTGAGATTCGCTTCTGTGTAATCAGCCAGTGTCATTGATCCATTCCTAAGTCTTATTTCCTAAATTAGATTGAGAGCTGACCCAAAGACAACCCACCAGATCTTTAACTTCTGACTTCCCTCCAGCCTTTCCCTTCTCAACACAGCCTGCCCTCCTATTGCCCAGTTCCTCATGACTCTTAAAATTCCTGTGCTGCTCTCCCT